CAACCATTTTATCATTAGGGAATAAGTAATGTCTTTTTTACTAGTCTATTTTATCAATGGACTGCCTAAGATAAAAGAGATTTCACTCTGACTGCAAAGAAATATGAGATATTTTTCGTCAAAGAAAATTTTCTCTAAGGTGTTTTCCTCATTGATAAAAATAGCTAGAAGAAAAGGTGACTTTCCTAATTGTCTACTATGCATTTATCGATTTACTCACTCTACTCGGTTTTTTTCTACATATCGAATTGTGTCGATGAAAACAATTGCAGAATTTTTATCGGTATTTCTTATTGAATTATTTGAAGAGAACTCGGGTTAATTACATAGGAAAAATGAGAGATTCATTCACTAATTCTAAATGATAGTTTCTATTTATTCGCAAGTTAATGACTAATTAATATTAATTAATTGATGATAAATGTTAATTTTAATTATTTTATGTAAAATGCATCTATTTATCAAAATTGTCCCTTCAGATAATGTAAAAATTCATTAAAAGTTATTAAAAAATAAGTGGAAGATAGGTACCTCTAACTCGAATTTAGAAAATTCTTTTACAAATAGATAGAGGATCAAGTACTGTATGTCTATGACAAATCATATTTAAAAAAGTAATCACTTATAAAAAAAGTTATACAAATTAACAGTTAAAAACAATAATAAATCCTTGTGACATTTAACCACAAGTAATGTTCATCGACATCGAAGGTCGATTCACTCGGCCCTAGACTGACGGAATGATGACCAGCAGATGGTTGTATTTTTAACGTAATTCGTGCCATGTAAATAGCAATTTGTACCATAAAAATGGTCCTTTCTGTCATAGAAATAGTCATTTCTGCCATAACAATGCTCATTAGTGTCATAAGAATGGTCATTCGAGTCATAAAAATGGTCATTTGTACCATAAAAATCGCCGTTTTTGCCATAAAAATGGTCGTTTGTACCATAACAATGTCGTTTGTGCCATACAAATGGCCATTCGTGCCATAAAATTGGTCATTTGTGCCATTGAAATGGTCATTTGTGCCATAAAAATGGGCATTTGTGCCATAAAAATGATCATTTGTGCCATAGAAATGATCATTCATGCCTTAGAAATGGTCATTTGTGCCATAAAATGGACATTTGTGGCATAGAAATGGTCATTTGTACTATAGGAATGGCCTTTTGTGCCATAGAATTGGTCATTTGTGTCATGGGTATGGTCAATTGTGCCATGGGAATGGTCATTTGCGCCATAGATATGGTCATTTGTGCCAAGCCCTTGTTACAGGCAGACAGACAGACAGACAGACAGACGGACAGACAGACACAGGTGAACTACGGTTTCTAGACCCTAGCCTTTCAGTCTAGGGAACACTGCGGTCATTTTTTATCTGAATAATATAGGAAACTGATTTAGATGATGAGAAAGAGCATCTGAAGATGCGTTGATTCTTATATGATAGACTTTTCTAAGATATTTTGTGAAGTATTTTAATAGTTTTTGAAAAAAAGCATTTTTGTAATTTTTTTAGAGATACGTGAATTTCAGCATATGGCACAATTAGAATTATCTATGTACAAGGAGAACCTATTTGAATATTTTCGATTTATACGAAATAAGAAAGATGTTTTAAATGAACTATTAACAATGGCAAGTAATTTAGCAAGAGCAGATTCATCAGAAAAGCACAAACAATTAGTGAAACATTTAATTGAAATTAAGAATAAAACTGGTTTCGTAAGTTTTACCTTCTTATTGAACTAAATCAAGAGCCTATTTTCATTTTAGGTTAGTGTCGGTTATTTACCAAAATAAAAGATTGAACTTTGATTTCGTTATAAATTTGGATGTAAAAAATAAATTCATCTTTTATACACTTAAATGTTATTGAGAAAATTCCTTGTCTATTGTTGTGGCTGATTAATTAGAATAAAAGCTTTTTATTTTACAATTTCTCGTTATAGGTTAGTTTTGGTTATATATAGCTTTTGTCTGTCGAAGACATGGAAATTGAAAAATAAGAAGTTTTTCTTAGTAAAACATTTTTTAAGATGGAACTGTATTATTGTGCCTGGTGCTCAGGTAAAACATTTATTTTTTGAATGTAGAAAGAAGTTAACTTTCCTAATATTTTTCGTATGACGTATCTTGAAAAATATAGTGTTAAATATTTTAATACAAAGAATCCATCAATTTTTGTTTAAATGATACATTGTAGATTCCTAAATAGGGTTAACTCTAACAAATATATGATTATATGTAATTTTATTTTCATAAAATTTTTGTACCCGAGAAAACTTTCTGGAATTGCAGTCTATCAGCTGTTTCAATTAAGTTTCGATCATCAAAACTAAGACGAGAAAAAAAAACAACTTATTTAGCCTAGAAATGATTCTAAAAGATATCGAAAGAATTTTTATAATTTCATTTTGGTATGTTAGTCTTGATTAATTACTGATATTTATCTTCAGTCTTTTTTTCTTGGCGTATTTTTTTCACTTTCTGAAATATATTCGAATGGATATTTAAAAGATTGTTCCAGTTATCTTTTCTTTTGTTATCTAATTAGCAAACTTATACTGCTATTTCGTTATTTAAATAGAAATAGGAATGGTGAAAAATTTGTCTTTGCATTTCTCTGAAAAGATAATTGTTTTCCGTGATGGATGATAAAAGCAAAGAGAATATATTAGGTTGACTAAAAAGTTCGCGGTCACTTGCAAAAATTTTAATTTTTTTAAGTTTACTTTTAAAGTTTTTTGTGTTTCATTTTTAAAACTTGTGTATCTTTCGTGTGCTAGTGTTCGCCTGTCTGTAGGGCTGATAGATGGTGTGTATGTGGAAAAGAGGAGAATGATAAAAAAAAGGAAAAGGGGCTAAAAAAATCCAAGAAGAATAGTGTATATGTAGGAGAGAAAAAAAGAAGCAAAAAATGTGATGCATGATCACATTTTTGAAATAATGTATCATGCATCATGAGTCGATAAGAAAAAGAAAGCAAAAAATACAAAAGGCCCAGTCCTCTAGAATAAAATACATACATATGTCTGAAAGAGGAACAGAGAGAAAGAATGGTATCGCAGATGGCATTCTTTCTCGAAAACAACATGTGAAGCGAAACGACAGAAGACTATGTGAACACGAGGCGAAAAGAATATTTCTAAAGTGCTGTGATGCAGAGGAGAAAAAAACGATAGCGACGACAGTCGTCATCGA